AGCTTGGCAGGCAGAGACTAAAAACCAAAACTCTGGCTCTGGTTAGTAAGATTCATGGACTGCTGAGTCAGCCAACCCCAGATTTGATTTTTTATTTTTACCTAGAATTACTTCATTTCTTCATTCATAAAATAGGGATAAATGACATGCTCTACGGGGTACCATATGAGAAGGTATATAGGAAGTGCCCAGTGTATTGCCTGGAATACTCAGCAAGCCTGGTTTCCCTTCTCTCCAAGGCTCTTTGCAGGATAACATTGAGGAGCAAATGTTCCCCTCAGCTCTTCTTTCACTTCCCACTGGTTAATCTTTTGTAAGATAAGATTTCCAGCTATATTTATAGGTTTCTTTAAGCACCAGGACTATAAGAATTTGATCTTACCAAGCATTATAAATCACTCTATTACCATTTGTATTGACTTGGATTTATCTATTCCAAGCTCTAAAATACAACTTCACAGACATTTTCAAGAGCTTGTGAAGTTTAATTTTAGATTTGGTGCTGAAGTTTAAATTACCTGAGGTGATAACATACTCTTCACAGTCTAGTTTAAAAGTCCTGATCAGTGTTATTTATTCTGTGGCTGAAAGTTCAGGAATCACCAAGATGAAATAAACTAAAAGGGTTTCTAAGTGCCTTGGTTGTAGTTTTTGTTATTAAGTAAATAGAGATTTTTCAGACCAGTTAGAAGTAACTTTTGTCATGTAAATCGTTGGCAGGATGGGTATGGGGTATAGCAAGCCCCTGATAGATATCAGTGCCTTAGTATCCAAAAAAGGAAAAGCTTTATTAAATACCAGATGAACTTTGAGGAGTATTGCCTTTGTGCCAAGTTCTCTGCTAGAGAAAACCAACTCTTCTGAGGATTAAACTGATAGCTAAAGTCCTATCCCAAAAACAAGGCTAAGGTTTAAAAAAATTAACAGACCCACAAACCAATGCTCATTTCTCTTTACCAGTTAACTTTCCAAACCAACCCTTTCTTTGATTCCCTTCGCTACATATAAAATCATAATTCAATCTGAAATACTTATAGAATCAGAACTAAGAAGCTATTGTATAGTAGAATTAAAACAGCAATATTGATTTCTTTTTATTACCCTGGGCTTATGAGTTTGCAAGCTATAAATCTGTTTCCTCTTGTTCTAAAAAAATTTAGGTTTTCAACCACATTTGTTTGAGCTGCTAGTTGCTCAAATGTTGGCATAATAAAGCAGTCAGAATGTGGCTTAGTGACAAAGGGCTGAGAAAATTCCAGCCTTTTAAAGATTGAGCTGTAAACATTCATGTCCGGGAGAAGGAAGTATGGCAATATGAAAACATTTTTCAAAAACTGAAAAATAAAATAATGGTTTCAAGTCTAACATTTAAGTCTTTAATCCATTTTGAGTTTATTCTTCTGTATGGTGTAAGAGGACTTGAATGTTAGACTCAAAACCATAAAAATTCTACAAGAAAACATAGGCAGTAAAATCTTGGACATTTCTCATAGCAATATTTTTTTCTGATATGTCTCCTCAGGCAAGGGAAACAAAAGAAAAAATAAACAAATGGGACTACATCAATCTAAAAAGCTTTTGCACAGCAAAGGAAACCATCAACAAAATGAAAATATAACCTACTGAATGGGAAAACATATTTACCAATGATATATCTGATAAGGGCTTAATATCCGAAATTTATAAAGAACTTAAAAAAATCAACACCAAAAACAAACAAACAAACAATCCAATTAAAAAATGGGCAAAGGACCTGAAAAGACACTTCTTCAAAGAGGAACTAAGTGAATAGATTTTTTTAAAAAAAGCTGTGGTACACTTATATAATAATAAAATACTGCTCAGCCATAAAAAAGAAAGAAATCTTACAGTTTGCAAGAGCGTGCATGGACTTGAAGAATATTATGCTCAGTGAAATAAGTCAGTCAGAGAAAGACTGATTTCACTTATATGTAGAATCTAATGAATAAAATAAACAAACAATATAGAACAGACTCATAGATATAGTGAACAGATTGACAGCTAGCATAGGGGAAGTGGTTTGGGGGCTGGGTGAAAAAGGTGAAGGAATTAAGCAAAACAAAACAAAACAAAACAAACACACAAACCTATACAACAGCATGGTGATTACCAAAAGAAAAGGTGTGTGTGTGGGCAGGTAGAAGAGGGGAAACGGGGGATCAATGGTGATGGAAGGAGAATTGACTTGGGGTGGTGAACACACAATATAATGTACAAATTATGTATTATAGAGTTGAACACCTGAAACCTATATAATTTTATTAACCAATGTTGCTCTCAAAAAACTAAAAAAATAAGAAGATAAAATAAAATTATGATTCAGGTCTGTATTTGCTAGGACCATGGCAACAAAGTACCACAAACTGTGTGGGAGGCTTAGGACAACAGAAATGTATTGTTTCCCAGTTCTGGAGGCTAGAAGTTAAAATCAAGGTGTCCATGGTTAGTTCCTTCTGGGACTGTGAGCAAGGATCTGCTTCACGCCTCTCCTTAGCTTCTGAGAGTTTTCTGGCAATCTCTGACTTTCCTAGGTTTGTGGCAACATAACTCCAGTCTCTGCTTGGGAAGCAGGGCATTCTCCTTGTGTCTCCACTTAGTCTTTGCTCTGTGTGGGCGCATGCCTCTTCAGACAGCATTCTTGCTGTAACTAATTACATCCACAGTGACCCTGCTCCCAAATTCAGTCACACTCTGAGGTACTGAGGATTATGACTTCAACTAATCTTTTTTTAAGGGAACACAATTCAACCATAACAAGGTCTAAAAAGCCGAAGTGAAATGGTGTGGCACAATTAGCTGATGAATTTAGGTCAGATTAAGAAGAAGACACTAACAATTTAGAACAAAACAAAGAGCATAATTAGGACTGCAAGAGTCTGGATGATCAATTTGGATAATGCAGGGCAAGAAGGAGAAAGGGGCAACAATACGGAAACCTGGAGAGCATTATGCTAAGTGAAATAAGCCAGTCAGAGAAAGATGAGTATCACATGATCTCACTCATTTGTGGAATATAATGAACAATATAATTTGATGAACAAAAATAGATCCAGAGACATAGAAGCATTGAACAGACCATCAAACCTCAGAGGGAAGGCAGGGGAGAATGGGTGAGATGGCCGGGAGAGTGTGTGCTGGTAAGAGATCGACCAAAGACCTTGTATGCATATAAGCATAACCAATGGACACAGACAATAGGGTGGTGAAGGCCTGAGCTGGGGGGGCAGAGGGGGCTGGCAGAGGGCAATGGGGGTAAAGGGGACATATGTAATACTTTCAAAAACAAGAATTTTTTTTAAAATGATGTACAAATTGGCAGGTACAGACTAGTCATAGGGATGCAAAGTACTGCATAGGGAATATGGTCACTAATATTGTGATAACTATGTATGGTGTTAGATCAGCAGTTCTCAACCTGTGGGTCGCGACCCCTTTGGCGGTCGAACAACCCTTTCACAGGGGTCGCCTAAGACCATCCTGCATATCAATATTTACATTACGATTCATAACAGTAGCAACATTACAGTTATGAAATAGCAACGAAAATAATTTTATGGTTGGGTCACAACATGAGGAACAGTATTTAAGGGGCCAGAAGGTTGAGAACCACTGTGTTAGATGGTACTGAATTTATCGGGATGATCACTTTGTAACTTATATAAATGTCCCATCACTAAGTTGTGCACCTGAAACTATACTGTACCTCAACTCTAATTAAAACAAACAAACAAACAAATACAAGACAGAGAAAGGGAAGTAAAGGAAGGAAAATGAGGCGAAAGGGGGAAGGAGGAGAAAGGAGTATAATTGGGGGCAGGGAGGCAAAGAGGACCAGGAGAAAGATCACATTAAGCAACGCTCTCATTTGTAGACTGGCTCACATACTCCCTGTTCTAACTGAGCTTGAGTACAGAGCTCTACTCTCTTGAATAACCTTCCAAATCATAGCTAGTTTATGAGTTTAATAATTACTCACATCTTGTGTCCACTCACTGAAGAGAAATGTGTCTTTAGAGTCCTTTTGAAATTAGATTGCTTCTGTGGGTTTCAACCTACAGGAGCTTGTAATTTGGACCATTTGTTTCCTAATAAAGAGGAGTAGTTGTGTTTTGTTTTGTTTTTCATATGTAGAACCCATAGAAGAAGTCACAATGTGCTCACTCCTGATGCGAAGGAGCTCAATAGGACATTCAGGGAATAGGAGAGCTGGGTGCTAGGATGCTATTGTTTCTACTGCCTCAAAAAGTAGAGCTGAAAAGGTCCTGTTTATTCATCCAATACATCTTCCTGCCACAGTCAAATTACCGTCAGCACTCTTCTTTCCAGGATCTTGTATAATTCATGTTTTAAAGCATCAAGAGCATATAATTCCTGGAAAACCTGGCCTGTCAATATACTTTATGGTGATGTGATTAGAGGACAGGTATATTATGATTCATCAAGGACCAATATAATGAGAACAATAAAGATTAATCAGTTTTTGGACTCTTAAGATTACTATACAGTATTTGTATTGCTTTTTGTTTACCAAGGTACTTTTTTTTTTTTTAACATATCAAGATTTTATTGTCATACTAGAGGCCTGGTGCCTGAAAATTCATGCACTGGAGGGGGGACCCTCAGCCCAGCCTGCCCCCTCTCACAGTCCAGGAGCCCTCAGGGACAGGAGACGACCCCGTGATCAGGGGAAGGCAACGCCCCCATCACACCTTTGCTGCTGCCACAGCTGGCAGAGCAAGCCTTGGCCGGTCCTGGTTACCTGGGCCGCGGGCTGTCCCTAGGTGGCTGAGGGGTTGGGGAGACTGGGGGACTCCAGAGGCAGGCACATGGAGCCGCCGGGCCCGCCTGCCATCCCAGCAAGGCTGAGGGGACTGGATGCCACTATCTTGTGACTGTGGGCACCACCATATTTGAGGGTGGGTCAGTCAATTAGCATATTCCCTCTTTATTAGATAGGATAACAAAACAAAATACGAAGCTTAGAACTGGATCACTCGACCCTTTCTCTTCTTATCTCCTCCCAGTTCAAAATGCTTGCATCTCTTAATAGCCAGCATTCTCTTAGGTCTGTAGTTAAGCTGAACACACTCAAGCCTCAGCACAATCCTCTTTGTAGTTTTAGCCTTTTTTTTTTTGTTCCATAAAACCAGCTTAGTCTGCCCACCATAGCCACTCTGCTTCCTGTCATAACGCCGCTTTCCCTGCGTACACAGAGAATGCTTGCCCTTCTTGTACTGTGTTGCTTGGTGGGACTGATGCTTGCCACACTTCCTACAGAAAGTTTGGCGGGTTGTAGGAACGTTTACCATGTTTCTGAGCGCTGTTGGCAGGGAAAGGAAGATGATCTACCAGGTACTTTTTACATATATTTTCTCAGTCAGTTTTTACAGCATTCTTATAAGATAGATGAACTGTTGTTCTTGTGTCCCTTTCACAAATAAATAAATTGAGAGTCACAAGTGGTGGAATCAAGGCTAAAGCTCCTCATCTGTCTCTCAACCTGTCCCTTTGCCCATTCACCTCATTAACTCAGCAAAGTATCAAGTCTTCCCAGGCTTATTCCTGAATGCTCAATAGTTGCTTTGAATATAAATGACATAAAAATTATATGAAAAAGTAATTACACAAAGTCATAGCATGTGAGAAAGAGGAATTTGTCTATGGTGATGAAGAGGGGACAACATGAAGGGGGTTCTACAGTGGAAAGGTTACTACCTATGCACAGTACTGTGTAGGACTAAAAGATGTATGTTCCAGACAGACTTCCCGGGAAGATGGGAAACTAGGATCTGCTTCCAGCCACAAGCCTTCTTCTGTTCCAATTACTCTCTTCCCATTTTGTTTGCTGTATATTTGTCATGTTACAGTATTTCCATGGTGATAAGCTAGGACATTGCAAACACTAATCAAATCAGTCTGTAGGAAGAAGAAGACCAGAGAACAAAAGGACTTCCTGGTTACACAAAAGGCAGTTTAAAGGAAAACGAAAGGATACCGTAAAACAGAAGGAAATTATGATTATTCAACTTATCAAAAGGTTTTAGATGCAGTAAACATGCCAGCTCTCACACTCAGTAAATTTAACAATTGATTCTCGGCACACTAAACATCATCTTTTTAATGCATTGGCACAATTCGAGAGATCATAAATTCAGTGTTATTTTTAAGTGGCTAAGAAGTAGAAAATATTTTAAACACGTTAAAACCATATGAGAAAAAAATGTAAATCATCACCAATAACCACAGAACACCCCAAAGTCTCTGTCCTTTCTTAGGAGCTAACACACAGCCCTGCTTCCTTCAATGGGGAAAACATAGTTCAGCCAGGGGTGTATCTGTTCACAAGGCAGGTAATCGCCTGTTTGGATCTTTCAGAAAAATGATGGAGTTTTTCGCCACCCTAAACAGATGATCACATATAAAAAAAAATCAAATGTTATTTATCTATATGTCAGGTGATGTATGCCACTTATTTCTTTTTTTCTTCTTTGAAGAATGGAATGGTGTTCTGGATCAAGCAAGCCTGCTGCTATGGAAGGAGTAGGGTTGTCCAACCACATGTACCACTGAATTTCCAAAACAACAACAAAAACCTTTAAGTCATTAATGCATCTGACTTATTCACTCAGTTGACACACCTTTACTCAATGCCTATTACATGTCAGGCCCTGGAGTAGCTGTTGAGATCTCACATATTATCAAAGCCAGCAAGGACAGGTCATGATGAAAGCTCTATGTTTAGTCTTCCAAAGACAGCTCACTGCAAATGTGCTTGCACCCCATAGACATAAGCACATTTACACACCAACACGCTGACATACTTAGTCACCCCAGAGGCATGAACTAGACCGTGAACCCATTTAGAAAGCAATATGTGCTCCACAATGACATGTACTTAAACTCTAGATATGAGTTTAAGATTCCATAGATAAGAAGAAAAAAGGACGGATATTGAAATGCCAGCCATTTATGTTGTCAAGGAAGGATATTAAACACTTCTCAAACAAAACTACAATTTACTATCACTTTCAATTCTTTAACAAAAGGATATGAAAACACCTTCTTTTCCTTTAAAAGGGAGGGCTGGTTCTCAGAATAAAGTTAGTCATGTAAACTGAACATATCTAGCTGAGTGAAAAACTCACCATATTGTTTTCTTTCTTCTTGGTTCCCTTGATGAACACTTGTCTTATTTTTCCTTGTACACATTCCTCAGGTGCTGGCATCAGTCTATAAACCACATTTTTGAAACAATAGCAGAAAACACCACAGCTGCAGCTCTGTGATCAACCAAGAGGCTCATATCTCAATCTAGTCTCAGGCACTAATTAATGTCAGATCTTGGTCAAGTGGCTTCCTGTTGTTCAGCTGTTAAAGGGGAATTCTAATGGAATTTGTAAGGATTAAATTATATACCCCACAAAAAAATTTTGCAGTGCCTTATAAGGGCCACCATGCTGAAAGCTATTGTGGCAACATATCTAAAGTAGCTCTATATGATCCAAATGCCCATTCTATGCCCTTCCTGTCAATAGCTGTGATGGGCCGTACCCGGTTTTGCTCAGTGGATATAGCGTCAGCCTATGGACTCAAGGGTCCCAGGTCCGATGCCAGTCAAGAGCATGTACCTTGGTTGTGGGCACATCCCCAGTAGGGGGTGTGCAGGAGGCAGCTGATCGATGTTTCTCTCTCATCGATGTTTCTAACTCTCCATCTTTCTCCCTTCCTCTCTGTAAAAAATCAATAAAACATATTTTTTTAAAAAGCTGTGATGGTCTCAGAGTTTATACTTCCAGGCTGGCAAATTAATCTGTTGCCTTTTTATGGATGCCGGCAGAAAACACCACTCTTGGTTCAGACACAAAGACAGTTCATTACTCAGCAAGAGGAGTAGCCACAGTTGTCAGCATTTGTGCTCATTCCTGAGCCCCAGTTTCCACAGTGACGCTCAGAAGGCCAGGAGATTCTTGAAAAGTGCAGTGGGCTACATTGAAAAGAGGAACCCTGGCTTGAGAGAACCAGGATTTTATATAATGGGAAGTAAGCCTGCCTGGCTTTTGCCCTGGAGAGAAATATTATATTTATTACATTGGGAAGTAAGCAAACTTGCCCTTGTTAGAGAGGGTGGCATTATCTCCACCTTTCAAGTCTGTTTCCTATTCAACATCTTTGAAAAGATAGTCCATAAAAAAGGTAGTGTGTCTGCCCCAAGAACAGGTGCACTAGAGGTCCATGGAGAATGGTCGCATAACACTCCCTACTTAAAAAATAATGTCTTTTGAAAATTTATTTTTACATCAATTTTAGATTTACAGCAAAATTGAGAGGAAGGTACAGAGATTTGTCATATGTCCTCTGTTCCCACACATGAACAGCCTCCCCCATTATCTACATCCTTCACCAGAGTGGTATATTTGCTACAGTGAATGAAAACGTTATGATATATTATAATTACTCAAAATCCATAGTTTAAATTAGGTTCACTTTTGGTGGTGTACATTCTATGGTTTGGACAAATATATAAAGGCGTGTGTTTATCATTATGGTAGAGTACCAAATAACACTCCCTACCTTTTAGAAATTGTACTCAACTGATTGTACTTCTTCTCCTCTACAAATCTGAATTCTCCTTTTAACTGGACATTTCCCATAAATATTGAGAAATTCTTGACTGTCTACATTCCTAAAAAGGAAAAAAGCATGTGAATATCCAATTTTTCAATACTATTTATTAAAGAGACTATCCTTTCCTCCATTTAGTGTTCTT